ATAGAGTCCACTGTAGGCTTTATGTATTGGGGGTTCTTCAATGTCCATTAAGTTACTGTGAAAGATTTTAGTATGTTCAATTCTGAGTGTTTTTAAAATAAATTGTCTAAGTATTTAAATAAGAAATGTTAAATGATGTTGTTTAATGTGTTGGTTAATATCTAATTGATTATATGATGTAATTTTCAATACTATTGATAGTACTAAGGGAAAACTTTGAAAATTATGGTGTCTTGGAGATAAAATTCTGTTATTAAATTAAGAGCTTTCATTATGGCCATAGACTTTGCTGTAGAAACTAAACAAGAGCTGGAGAATTACTACGTAAATTACGTGTTGTCCCATATTATTAAAGCTTTAATCTTGTCTTACATTTTTGAAATTTTTGTATATGGTTTAATGTAATTTTAAGTTTTCTTATATTGACATAATAACATTTTCAGGACTATAATATTAATAAACCTTCTAATAAAGGTCCATTCAATTTCAAAAATGAATTAACGGAAACACAAACTGATCAACAGGAAAACAATTTAAATCTCACAATCCCCATAAATGTTAATAATGTATCTCAAATTTCACTAAAAGAATGTACAGTGCGATTAGAAAGGCTTGATGAAAAAATTCTAAGCCACTGTATTGGTCAGAAGTATAAAGATAAGGTAACTATAAATATATTTTTATTATTATTTTTATTAAAAGACTAGGTAGTACAAGCCATTAAGTGTACAAAAGATAGGTATTTATTAACTTATACATTTATATTTAAAATTGTTGAGAAAAAGGTGAAATCTGATTGCTGTATCTATTTGATTAAGTTGTTAATGGCTTGTTATTTAAGTGAGATTTTAATGAATAATGATTGCTAGACTGTTGCTTCGGCAATAAATACTGAAATAATTCACATATAAAGGGTGGATTTGACAGTGAAAGGGATGTAGGTACTTTGTAATGATGTTGATATATGAGAAAAAGAGTAATGGAAAATGTTAATCCTTAAGAAAGTCCATTAAAAATTTATTTTGTAAAACACAATAATTGTTCTTTAAATATTACTTGAAATGTTTTTGTTTAAAAAAAAAAAATGTATTTTTGCTAAAAGATTTTTTAGATAAATATAAAACTTATAATTCTACAAAATACAGAAATTAATTTCTTATGATATATGTTTTAGATAGATAGTTAGATACTAATAAAAGAATTCATCAAAGTCATATACTTAAATTAAAAGATTTGATGCAGACATTAATAATTGTGTTAGAAAAAAATCTAATAATAAGGTAATCTAAATTCTAAATTACTTGTATATGAAGTTTTTAAATAGAAAAAAGTTATATTCATAACATTTTTCTAATCATAATATTATGATTATAAATATTTTTAGTTAAACAATAAAGCAATCAATAACAACATTGAAAATAACCAACCCAAAAATATGTGCTATGGAAAATATCCATAAAAATGTTCAACCCAAAGAATGTTTTATATTAGAATTAAAAATTTAGGCCTGGATGTTTTAGAAAATGTTATTAATCATAATTAACAGGTTATAAAAATTGCATTTAAAAAAATTTAACTGATAATACATTTCAGGAATTTAATTTCCTTAATAACTTATTAACTAATTTCCTATTTTTTAATATTTTTTTTAGACAATCAAAAAAACTGCAGATAAAACCAAAACAAAAATGAAGATCATCAAAAAAAAAAATGTCTTAAAAAACAGCTCTTCAAAACATAAAAAAATGAAAAGAACAAAAAGTACTTATTACTAGTATTTATGATTACAAAAACTAAAATAATATTGACCAATTGTAAGAGTGATTAACCTATTTTGACTCACTTAACAAAGTATTGTTATCTAAGTTTCAAGAAAATGTCATGTACTAATAATATGTTAATACCCATAAAAACAATTTGGGTTATCAGGGATTTAAAAAAAATATAAACATAAACAGTACCTAGCATACACTGGATTTTAGTTCGATTAGTGATTTTACTACAGATAGATCAAAAACCCATATGAGGAGCACTGCCTTCCTATCGCTCTATAACTAAACTAGTAAATATCACGAACATTTTAAAACATAAAATAATTCTTTCAAATCCCTATTTTTTTTATTAATTGTCTTCTCTTAAAATATAAAATATTTAATAATAACACATAAAATATAATATATTGTAAACAAAATAATAAAATAATACCAAACAATATTCATACAGTTATAAAAGTAATAATTTTATAAATTATATTTATTTGTATTTTTATATTTAATTTATAAGAAATTATTGTTCAAAAATTCATAGCCCGTAGACAATAGATATATTATTTAACATTTAAAAAAAATTTTGGGAGGAGGAAGACATTTTTTTGGGATGGGGTAAAATCCTAGAACTCTACCCCTGCGTATGTCGCTGAACATAAAGGATATGTGTTTTATATCCTGTCTATATGACAACTGAACTTTGTTGAAATTAAAACGAGAACAAATAATAAATTTAAAAAAAAAATGTTTTAAAAAATTTTGAATCTAAGTTTGAATTGGTTATAACTTATAAGTACTAATTATAAATAACAGTTATTTGTAATGTTATTCTTGGGTATTATTGACCATAATATGTTAGTTTTATGTAACATACTGTGCTGGATCAATGTTTTAGCTCGTGAGAGAAGGGATGAAAGTTATTGAATATTTAACAATATTATTTATTACTAATAAGATATTAGTTATTATTTATTACTATTAGTTTATTGTTTATCATTGTAGAATACTGGCCACAAACCTCCCTGCCCAGAGCATTATTAAATACATTTTTTAATGAAAATAATTATATTTTGTTTTATATTCCATAGAGAATAAAAGTGCAAATTATTATTAAGTTAAGTTATGCATATGTACTCTTGAGTAAAGACCTGCTTATTATTTTATTTTTTATTTTTATGAATTTATGACTAGAATTTAAAACTGTAACATGTTCAAAATATTTAAATTTTAAATATATATTATATTTTAGTTATTACGTTTTCGATTTATTTATATTTTTCTGTTGATTATTTAAATATATTATATTTTTATGGAAAATGGGCGTATTATTTAAAATTATCATGCAGCTAATCGAAATTCATAAAATATTTTTGTTTCTATGTACAGCTGAAATTTATTTATGTTGATATACGTAGTATACTTTGATAGCTACATTTTTATATTTTTATACAACTTACTCATAAATAAAACAGGTACCTACATTATTTGTATTTTTTTGTATATAAATTAGTTATATCTGATATTTTAATTAATAAATTATTATTATGTATAAATATTCTAATTTACTATTACGTTTTGCAATGATCTAAGTAATATAAGTAAGTGAATGGGTATTTTAACCACATATTATGACCAAATTTTCTGTTTCGCACTTGTTGCTATATACAGCCAATATTTTATGAAATTCAAATATATATTACTTCAAAGTTTAAATCTATAATGATTTATTTCTTAGTCTTAGAACTAAGTTAGCCATCATAATCCATCTAAAGATACGTGTATTAATGGTGATTGTCCGGAGGATTTTCAAAATGAACATTTTTCTTGGGGTGCAAATTTTAACGATGACAGACTAATCTGCAATAGCACTTTGAAAATAAAATAGTATTACAATAATTTATAATAATAACACGGGTCGTTACTAGTGCGCCAGCAGAGGTGTAGGAAAATCGCATTTGAACAAGAAAAGTTTTGCGTTGTGTTGATGGGAGTTGGTGGAAGGGGGAACTATCCGTTCGGCTACGGTCGGACGCGATCGCCTCGGCGCTCAATCGAACACGGGTCAAGGGACGCGGCGGCGGCCGACGTCTACCGCCGACGAGCTCGTGTGCGCGGCCTGTTGTGACTTGTGAGCGCGTGGCCGTCGTCCGGACCGTTTTGCTGTTGGTGTAGTACTAGTTTGCGTTAAAGTCAATAGCGATCGTGCTTATAGTTAGGCGCCACAGCGAAAAAGGGTTATTTTTAAAATTATTTCGTTATTTTTTCGGGTTAGAGGTGTCGTCACCGAGTACTGTGATCTAGACAGGATACGAGATTTTCGTACGCATTTTGACCACCCGCCTACCGACCGCCGTACACACCCTCCTTTAAGATTTTCGTAAATTTTCAACTGGAGGCGCTTTTCCAGTTTACTACCATCGAATTTTTCCCTCAGACATGGCCACCACATCCTCGGACGCTTGGTCGACGTCTCCGACTAGTCAAAGTGAGTGCTGCAGTTTTTCGATGTTATATTTTATTTATAGGTTTAGTTAGTTTTTATTAATAGTTTCGTATGTATAATATTATACACTTTATTTGATATGAATGTAGTTTTATACTTTTGTATACGTGAATACATAATATAATTTATTATTCGTAGTTGATAGTTAACATACCTCTTTATGGAAACCTTAGGTGGTGTTTCCTGATTCCTGGGGAACCCATTAACATCAACTTTCCCTCGACATTTATACAAAAATATTATATCAAATAGAGCAATGCGTCGTATAGACTATGGTAAACTATTATGTATATAATGTTTCAAAAGATGTTGTACACCTAACTAATTTTTCAATCAAGTTTTTTTTTATAATTATTTAATAGGTAGTACTTATTTTTAGAACCCCTCCTCCACTCTCAGAATTCCACCCTGGATCAGTCACTGCAGATAGTTACGTACGTCTTAAACAATATTATGCACTTGTTATACCTATGTCCTATGTTAAACGTAATTTCGGACTATAGTTTCTATCATATTATTAATTATTATTATTGTATTAAGGTAGGTATATGTATAACTGTATAGAATAATATAAATTTACACATTGACTCATCTAATGAAAACTGTGTAAAATATACTGGAAAATTAATTTCATTTATATTAGTACAGCGTGTAGTTTATAAGATAATTCGTTCGTTTAACGTTTCGGTTGATACCTATAGCTATATTTAATATTGAAAATATTTCTTTATTAATCACGATAATACAAGTAATCATTTTTGACAGTGATTGACTGTAAATATTTTATGTATAGTAAGTACGTTTTAAATTCATATCTAAACAATATACTTATTATACTTAACATTATAAAGGCAAAAGTAACCCTGTCTATCATTTTCACGATTAAACAGCTGAACCGATATTGATAAAATTTGGTAAGTATGAAATTAGTTTGATTCCAAATAAAGGACAGCATTTTTAAACTTTTTTTTAATTAACCCCAAAGAAGGGTGAAACTAAATAATTACTCTAATGTGATTAAAAGTCAACAGTGTGAATATAAATTTAAAATTTGAAATCGGTGATGATTTGATATTGTACAGAAATCGTTTAAGGAGGGGTTTTCTTAAGAATTCAGTCCCTAAGGTCGAAGGGTAGGTGGAAGAAGGTGAAAAAGATTGTAAGTGAAATAATATTTATTAATTTAATTATTTATATGGTCTAATTTACTTAAAATTAGGCATTAACACCCTTTGGCACAATTAATGAAACACGAATATCGACGTATTTAGTTCGGTTTTGTCCGTTTTTTTCGGTTTATACGTTATAGTATCAGTTAATAAATCGCTATAATTCTACTGTAAATTTTTACTAAAAATAGGGGAAGGGATAGAATATAATAACTTGTTTCGTTATTATTTATACGGATTTACAACTTAGCTACCGCTCTGATTATTAAATGTATTATAATATTTTATACTGTATTTTTCTCCTATCTCGATTCGCGTGCTGTCAGAGATGGCATGTGTACCGTGATGGTCTTCTATTGAAATGGACTTTAAAGAGAACGCAAGATATAATTAAATAAACATAATTTTTATTATGATTCTAATTTATGACTTGGCTAAATAATATAAAAATTTTTAATTATAATGGTTAACGATACATCAAATCCACGCGTCAAATCTGCCTAATGAATAATGGTAAAATGGCACTAATGGTTAAAAAATACTTTAAATTAGAATTGTATGAACACTTACAATTGATTCATAGTCCTTACATGGTTATTTTTTTTTTTTTGGAGGAGAGTACTCATATCAATTCTTGCCTTCTTGGCGAGTAAAGTCATATAACATTTCGCAAACGGCTACCGTTAATAAATAGCTGCATATCATTATTGAATATATACATTATGTTACTTACTGCGCCTTACACTTATTGGTTTGACGAAGGTTTTCTCGTCAATTCAAAAGATTGGAAAGCTAAAATACACCTATTTGTAAATGAAACTCTTTATTGTAATATAACATTTTGAAAAATAATACATTTTATTTCACTTTTATTATCAGTAAAATACAATAATATTCTATATTTGACTTGTTCTTTAGCTTTCTAAAGAATAATAGACAGCAAACGCGCAATGGCTTGTTAAGAAATAAGAATTGTTTCACTTTGCATGGGTTTAATAAATTTAAAGAAATTAATTAGCAAATCATTCTTGTTGTTAAAATATAACAAAAAGAATTGGAACATTTTTTTAAATACCACGATCTTAAATATATACCTACGGTAGTACAGTATTTAATTTAGATAAAAAATAATAATTTTCTTTCTTCAATTTTTTGTAGAGTTTTTAATTGTTTAAGGTATAGTTTTTCAAAAAAAAACTCTATAATTATATGGTTCTGTAGTAGATATACATCAACTCGTACATATACTCATTGCAACATAGAATCTATAGGTTCATGTACAATTAGGGTTGATTTTTAAATTTCAAACCGTATCGGTCACCTAATTGTTTGGAAAATTTTAGTTTTAGTACATGACTTCACTTAAAATAATATTTTGATAAGTATTACCTTATGAATTATGGCCATAATTTATACACGAATAATACAACATGTATATATTCATCAGGAAAGCAATAACTGTATAATACGATTTTTTACACATTGATTAATATTTAATTGTGATTATATAGATTATAATATTTAACAATATCTTTATAAATAGTTATCACACTTGGGTATGTTTTTAACTTTTTATTACTCCCGACTCCTTAAATTTTACAAAATACTTAATAACAAATTTGTGTTCTTAAAAATTTATAAAGTCAAATTATTTTTTAGTAGTACAATATAATGATACAAATAAAAAATATTTTGTGTATAACTTTGTGTCAACTATTATTAATGCTGTTTTATTTTTATTGACACACCATTTTAGTGTATTTCTTTAATGGATTAATATGTAAATATGTTGACAGACACAAATACTATAATATCTACTAATTTAGTCATCACTTGCTATAGTTAAGTATAGTGACTTGTTATAAGATTAAGTATTAGTGTATTACCGTTTCAGCTACAATTCTGCACCATATCGGTTATGCGATTGAAAAAAATTATTGTGCTCAGATTTTTTATTTACAAAGATTTTTCCAGAACATTGATCAATACAATTTAGAGAAAAGAATATAAAGTATAAACTGTAATCGGAACGTCGGAAATTAAAGTCCCGACGAGCAATAGGCAGGAAATGTGGGATTTTATGACCTTCGTAATTTCCGATTCGGAATTGCCAGATTAAATTTTGTATACCAATAAACCATACATCTTTTGTTTATATAATATTTATTGATCACTTACAATAGATACTAGTTAGACAAGTGTATTTAAATTAAAACGAAAACGAAATTTAAAAAAGAAACTAACAACTAAACTTGGAAGAATGACGTTTAAATTCCAATTCACTTATACCTACACAAGTTTATACACGAAATTAAATCCATTGTATAGGTACAATAGATACATGATAATATTATATTATTTTGTAATATGTTACTGTCGTGCATGAGCACAGCTGCATCGACTACTGTGCAACTGTAGTTAATGTGCAATTTACATTTTATACTGCATTCTGGAGTGAACATGGTAGTTTTGTTCATTTATCGTGCGTGTAACAATGTGGATCATTGTTTCTGCAAGATGACCGGATACCACGAGCACGCGGGGACACGTTTTATTTTTCTGATATGGTTTCGATGACAAAATTAATGTTCCAGGGTTCGTAAAATATATACATAATATACATAATACATGCATCATGTTACACGTTATTATTTATATATAAATACTAAATATAAACATTCACGCATGTGCTCATTTTCTTAAGTGAAAACTTGACAATAAAAGAGCGGGAACGCAAATTATACACGTATTACACGTATTATGATATACAGCATCATCTGCAGTCTATTATACATTTAATAACTCTGTATAACTATGAAAATGATTTTTATTTCATTGCATTTGAGTGATTAAATATTAAAATAAAAATGCAATAAGTGTACATATTTTTAAATCGATCAATTGTAATAGGTACACCTATTTTTTTTTAAGTATATGATGAATTGAATTGTCCATTGTTCTAACGTTTCTATCCCTCTAATATTTTTTATTCTGAAACAATAAGTTTCAATTTATATAGAAATCTTAGTTTACATTCTTAAACCCGTTATCAATCGTGAAAATCAATAAAAATAATTTAAGAAACTTATTTTGAATTCAACGGTCCACTTGGACAACAATATTATGTATATTTTTTAAATTTATTTATTTATTATAGTTATTATCTTTTAAATAGTCGTTTATGTACTTCAGAAAATTGACTATAATCGCCAATACTAGATATATCGTAATATTATTTTTTTTTAAACAATTATGTCATTCTGATTTTTTTAATATTATGGCAATACACTAGATAATATCTATCCGCTATTCGAGTTTATTTATTCCATTGTGTAATGATAATTAAAACCTAATTAATTGATTTTACCTTGTATAAATAATGCTTCAATAGAGAAATAGGAAAAATTAATGATTGATAATAATTAATTGAATCACAATGGTTATATTTTTATTACTACTATAGTCATAATTTCTACTCTACCTTTATACATTATTCTCTTGATTCTTTTCATAAAATTTACTTATTTACTTGTTGTATGTAGGTATTTTATATTGTATTTTGTACAGATTGTAAATGTTTATACATAAAACAAAGATAAAAGATATAGGTATAGGTACCTGATAAATCATACATATAACTATTTAAGTTTAAAATCATACAATAAAAAATGTAATAAAATTAATATAATTTAAAATTGTTTTTATTAAATTATTATCTGTTTCGTGATTTTAGCGAATTATTTAATATTTATTAATCTTTATAAAGTAATTCAATAAAATAAGCCGTCTAAAATACTATCGAATTCTAAATCA